GGACGCGTGAGGCAGCGAAGCGCTGCCTCCTCGCAACCCAGCCATCGCGAAGGACACACCGGGCGTCGGGGATCGCGGGACGATCTCCGGCCACCGTAAGCGCGGGCCTGCGGACGGCGAGCATGGGTGGCTCCCCGTCCGACCAGAAACAGACCCGAGCGTACGGCGCGTCGCGTTCCGCGCGCGCCTCAAAGAGCCATCAGACCACCACAGATGGGGCCCAATAGGGCCGATGCCGATTCGGAGTCGCGGAGAACCTAACGGGTAACCGGGGCTCCGGCTCGACGTGCAGGAGAAGGAACGGGGTGGTTTTTAGTCAGTAAGAGTCTGACACTCCCTCCCGCCTCACCCAGGCGGGGGCAGTCATTCGATGATTTTCCCCCCTTAAAAAAAAAAAAATGCCTACCCCTATGGGAGGGTAGCGTGAGGATATGTATGTATGTATGGATATGCACCCACGACACACGAGAAAATACTAACGTGGAGCAACAATTTAATTAAAAAAAAAACAATGTCATTGTAGAAGAATGAATTGCAAAGCAAACATTAGTCAGTTATACAATTTTAATTGAATGAGTGTGATTTCGTAGTTTGTTACCTCTTATCTCAATGAGGAAAATAATCGATCTTAATACATTCTTACACGTGCCAAGATTTTTGTTTACTTGTTATTATTATTAAATATCTAGTATTAGCAACGGGAAGAAGTTCATCTTGTCGATAGGTACTCTATTTTATTAATACAAACAAGGCTTTTGTTAGAAAACAGTTGCCACACAAATATTATTATTGTACACAGATCGAATAGAGATTAACTTTCTTAGAAAACACTGTTACTACTAATCCTGTATATTGTGTACTTATATCTATGCATGTTTTATACCTACCTATCTAATTGCTTCCCGTCAGAGCTGAGACGGTTTTCTATTTGATAACAATTGCAATTTATTTCGAATCTATTTTTTATGAAACTGTTGCCTGTTTTCTAACATTAACTAACATAAAACCATCTCTTAACTAAGAGTTACTTAACGAAAGGGAGCTCCTAATTGGCTCCTTACATATGTATACCGCTGGTGACACTAAGGTATACATAGATTTGTGAAAACCAAAATGCTAATTGTCATCTGTCTTAACTCAGGTGTTTCTAAAGAGAGTGTGGGAAAAACGGGCATGTATTAGTATATCAAAATTGATGAAGATTTAAACATGGAACCTATAATAACTTTGGTCTCAAACTATTTATATAAGGGCGTGTCTACATTTGGCGAATACGCCGCGAATGTACAAATCGTGAGCCGTTTGCGAGCTACCCTTGAGCCGCGCGCGTGCATTTAAAATTATTATTCATATGAGTCTTGCACGAGTTGCACAATTTTTAAAGTAAGCTCACAGAACATTTGCCAGATGTGGACACATCCTTAAGTAGGCGCGCGCGCCTTAAAAAGCCATCAGATCACCATAGGTGGGGCCCAGTAGGGCTATTGCCCGATATGGAGCCGCGGAGGGCCTAACGGGTTGCGGGACTTCGGCTCGAAGAGCAAGAAAAGCAAGAGTAGGAACGGGGTGGTTTTTATTCAGTAAGAGTCTGACTAAGGCGGGAGAAGTCATTGGATGATATTTCCCATTCAAAAAAATCTTTAATAAACATTTTTTCTAGACGTTAGGAGCAAACTTCACACTTGTGATCCCTAAAAAGTAGAAAGGTATATTCTGTGATGTCACAAATAGGTCTCGTGTGACTATATTATTTTGCCGCTTCATGTAAAATGAATTAGGGTCGCTACACTTCTTTATCCCGAGCACTTATTCTACGCTCCTTATTAAATTTGCATTTATTTTTTTGCATGTAAATGAGAATATTTGTATTTTCAGTTTAAAAAAAATATGTATAATGTAATTCTAATTATTAGGTAAAAAAATAAAAATTCTTTATTGCCAGCCCAAAGTATACTAATTTGATTCTACTAATTCAATTCAACGCAAAGTCACACAACATTGACTATAATAATAACGAAATCGCAATAAGGAACCTTAGACTTGGCACGACTTTGTTATATTTCATTACTATTTAGAGATAAACTAGCAGCTCCATCGAGACTTGGCTAGTTTTGTACAGAATGTTTTGGTGGGACAATTATTTAAGGATTGCAACAAATATTGTTGAGTGGTTATAAATATATAATTTTTTGTTATTTTCAAGAGCATTATACGCCATTTGAATGTAGATTGAAATCGTTGATATATGATTATGTTTAATTTCACTTAATATTCTGATAAATAAGTTTGTTTATAAGAAACAAGAGATCAGTTTTTCCATACACAATTTATTTATATAGGTATTATCATTCGTATTTAACATCCACTTTTAAAATAGGTCGATGCATGAAATCATGCGTGAATGCTTGATATTCAACGTTGCCGTAGCTTCGATAAATCTGAAAGTATATTTTAAGTTAAAAATATTATTTCTTTATATTTTATCCTTCTTGTTGTAAAATGCATATTATTTTACAGATATTCAATAACAATAATCCTAATAGTAGTATTAGGATTATTCTACATTTATGTAGATAAATGTTGACAATGTAAGGACACACATTGAAAAAATATAACTTATGAAACTTATTGCCAATTTAAATCAGGAAAATCGTTTATTTCAATAAAAAACTTAAACTACAACTATTACTTAAGTAAAATTAAAACTAAATATTACTAAATTAAATATATACAACTTAAGATTAAAATTAATTAAATTAATTAATTAAATCAGGAAAAGGCATCACAAAAAATTATTGTCAATCTTAATATTATTTATTTCTAAAAGTGAATGTATTGAATCATACTGATTCTACAAAAATGATGTTACCTATAAATACCTTTTATTTTTCATTTTTGCTACTAGATACTTAAAAACCTGTCGTCATTTAGCTTTAACACAAAATGTCGTGAGTATATTAGCGGGGCGTCTAAAGTTAGTACTAAGTTACGAGGCAGGCGAAGTAAATCGCGTCTCATGTTCCCTAAGTGCACATTGTAGGTGGATGCATCTTATGGCGCCTACGGGACGTAGTGGAAAGATTGCTAAGTTAAAATGTTTTACTCAGTATAAGTATAAGACGACAAATGGCTCTTATTTACTTAGTAATAAGGTCTTACATGGCCTAGAGATCTATGACGATATTTCTTTTTGGATTTTTGGGTGTCCTAAATTCTATATTCTATAAATCTTCTTATATCACTAATGTCGAAATACTTAAACGTCACTCAATTTTAAGTAGCGCTTAAGTATAGTTCTGTCACGGCAAATTCTTTGTGAAATGACAGAGATGGCACGATAGTTGCAACCTTTCAGTATTTAAGCGTTAGTCCTTTACAACTGCTTTATATAACCTACTAGCTTCTGCTCTCGACTTCGTACGCGCAATCCCGCTTCTTCTATTCCCGTAGGATTCTAAGGAGTTCTAAAAATACTGGAAAAGGAGAAGGTTCTCCTGACAATAACAGACATATTAAAAAAAATCAGCCCAATCGGTCTAGCCCTATAGATAGATTTTTTTTGGAATTTTGTTCTTGATCTTATGATATTTTTTTTTAATTTAAGCGTTGATTCACCCTAGGATAACGATCTGTTGATCACATATAGAATTGTCCCGTGCTGGAATCGAACCCGCGATACGTAGCGCGGCAGCCAGTTACCCAGCCATCGCGCCAACCGTGCAGTCATATAGCTTATAGCTGGAATACTGAAACGTTACTCAATTTTAAGTCGTGCTTAAATATCGTGCTGTCTCTGTCATTTTACAAAGAATTTGTAGAGACAGAACTATACTTAAGCGTGACTTAAATTTGAGTAACGTTTCAGTATTCCGGCAATAGATAGATAGATTTAGCTCAAGAGATGGGCCACAACTTTTTATCCGACAACCTTCATCGACGTTAATATTTCAGTGTCATAAATACACATAAAAGTCAATACAACACCCATCTATGACACATACTTACAAAATTATTGACATGAATAACATTCGACTCAAGACAAGTACATAGTACAAAGTTTCTTTATGAAAGTCAAAGAAAAGTTTCGGTTCCAACAACCCTTAAATGAAACGCTAAGTGACAAGTCGCCTTCGGGAAGGATATATTTGAATCATGTCTTGTTATACACAAGGTATAATATATGATTGACATTTATAAATCTGATTTCGATAGAAACTCGAAAAGGAGTAAGGAAATCAAATGTTCACCCACACGATTTCCGATGAAGGTGCTTTCAGTACTTACAAAATGTCAAAAAAGGTTTGAATATAAATATAAAGGGATATTTTTAACATACATCGGTTAGTAGGTGTTTAAAAGGAATTTTTACTTTGATATTCTTATTGCTATTATTATTGACTGCCTCAATGGCCGAGTGGTCGCAAGTGCGACTGCCGGTCAAGGTCTCGGGTTCGATTCCCGGGTCGGGCAAAGTATTACTGGGTTTTAAAAAAGTAGTAGCACGGAGTCTGGAAATGTGCCCGGTATATGGCAATAGGCTCACCCCGTATTACATGAGACTCAACATAAATAGTGAAAAGTGGGTGCTACTTCTGAGTGCACCTCCGCCTACCCCTTCTCTCGTTATTTTATGTTATATTCTTATTAAAAGCAAAACAACAATAATCTATTAATGGTATTATGATCAAAGATTGAAACCCTTTAGTGATGTTATTTCAGTAACATTTATAGTTATGATTATTTATTAACTCCATTTAGGTTAATATGAAAACGATAAATTCTTTACGACTGTAGAGTTATTGGTGTGCCGACCGTCACGACGTAATCCTCTTATATTATACTGAGACCGTCTGATATTGTTCATAAATAATAGTTCAGAAAGACGCCTGTCACTTATTATTTTCGGCGATTAATGGTCTCTCACAGCGGGATGTTCATAAACTAAGATTGTGAGTCAAGTTTAATTATTATGATGTTAATGAATATTTTCATTGTTACAGATAAACATGTCGGCTCCAACAACTGACAGCACAGAAGCCATCACCAACTCTGGCTACGGCAGCAGCGATGAAACTGCGAGTTTACTCGTCACTGGACCCTCAGTCACCGTCATTGTTCCATCAGAAAACAGAACAGTTAAACCAGTTCTGCAAAGACAAGACTGTACAACCCATCTACGACCTCAATTATCAGGCGGGCCTGGCAGTGAAGAAAGTGCAACATCTATCAGAATGGAAGAAGGTACTGCAAGAAGTGTCCCTGACATCGAGCTCCAATGCCGGGAACCGGCAGACCGACCTCAGACACTTGTGTCTCCCGTAGCGACGTGCTCGCATAGAGGGTCAGTGACCGCCTGCCAGTTAGTTCCGCAAACATACTCGAGATGTCGCGTGTGCGAGCGGCGACAGTCTACCGCACCAATTTCAGCACTACAACTAGCGCGCTCTGTGTCGAGAGAGAGCGTTCGCTCGGCCGTGCACTACCCTTGCGGCTGTAGTTCACTTCATGCCGTCAGTACATGCCCCGTCATACAACCCCCGGCGCTACTGTTGCCTACAACTAGTACAAGAATAATCCGCCAGAGTTCGCAGCCTGAATCTAGCGCATGCGCGGCGCACTGCCCTCATCACGCTCACCATCACCCCAGCGCCTCTCTGCGGCAATTGCGAGAACCGGGAGACGGCATCGCTGGCATCGCTGCGGACTCTCTGCGAATCAACGGGGGTATGCGCCCTTTCAAACAGGTATGTTTTACTTTTGTTAGGTGGCGCCACTGTTTTATTAAACGAATCATACATTGTAGATTTTTTCGTTTTTAGCGTAAGCAATATAAGTGTGATCATGCACTTGTAGGCGCTTTATATTGACTTTTAACAAGTTAGCGTAGAGATTTAGCATTTTCATCAAAAACGGTGGTAAATATTAGCGACAGGATAGTCGGTAAACAAGAGCTTTCCTTGTTTATTGAAAAAATAGAAACAGCCGTTGCTTCGGATCGACTAAAATAATACTAACATTTAGGTAGGTTTTATAAAAAAGTTCACACCAAAAACAATAAAATTTTGCATTAAAGTCAATTTATTTAAAATATTTTTCTCAAGCAATCCATAACAGTTTACAATCTTTAAAATATAAAATAATTATCACAATCGACTTTTACATATCCTGTTTAGTTTAAAGAAAAAAAACTTTGTTATATAATCTGTATATATTTGGCTAGAAAATGGTAGAGATGCTTTTAAAATATTTGTATCAAAGTATTATGTAAAGCTGTAACGCTCGACGCCTAAAAAAATGCAAAAAGAAAAGGTAAAAACGTAGGAGTCGTTACTTTGTCAAGCAATCAGACATTGACAGAAAGTTCTACCGTTGTGAAGGCCTCTTTGGCAGAAATTTCAACGAGATGAGCCTTTTCTTAATGTCTGCCTTTACAACTCACGGCCATTTAACTCGCTCCTACGACACTTGACAATGTTGTAACACTCTTTCGAGCTCTCAAGGCAATTTCGAGATTAGAACTAGCAAAAAGACTCGCAAGATGAATACAAATCATACTGTATGATGGTACACTGTGTTAATCGTTGTTGTAGTAACTTATTGTGTGTTCTAGGTGTATCATTTAGTGTGAATATCAGTATTTTGATGGATCATACCAAATCATTTCCATAAAGCGATAAATTCCTGGACAGTCTTATCCTGGCTCTTAGTAAACCGCGATGCAGATGGCGTGTAAGTGCTGTGTACGGGTCTTGAGACGGGTTCTCCCATCTAACTAAATCAAATCAAATTAGTCCTTTGATTTGATTTCTGTTTTTAACCTGCAGGGGCTGCTCCTCTGTCCACAAACCCTGTCGCAGACGCGCCGAGCCCGGCTGAGACGTGCATTCACTGAAGCCACGGGGGATACTGTTAACTACGTTAAAACGGTGGGCTTCAACCTATTGGATTATGCACCGTCGAATACCGCTATCGACTGTACAATTTCCCTTGTATTGAATTTCCAGTAACCTGTTTCAGATAAAAACAGTAATTTAGCGTTCAAAGAACAACCTACACAGCCGACACAAACTTTCAAAGCAAAGCAAAGCACCATGCAGTTAGATTTTAAAATAGATTGCAACTTCAAATTAGCGGCATAGCATGTTAGTAATTAAGCCACGACACAAATAAGAAACGAAAACATTTAAACTGAATTAGTTTTAGAATTACCTACACCACACTAGTCACGACCCACGTCAGGTTGTACAGTCGAAAAGCAGGTATCTGTGGATTTATCACCAAAGTAATTTGTTAGTTGGCGAATGTGTCGTCCCTATAGCTTCGTCTAATGACCACCGTTAGCCATTCCCCCCACGCCCCTGACATCTTACCCTGGCACCAAAATTGCTTGTCACGAACAAATCGTTTTCTGTTCATCACTTTGTTCAAGCAAAAATATCATCGAGCACTTTTATTCGAGACTCGACAAATTGACTTAGACCATCGAGTGTCTTGGCACAAAGGCTGATACCTTTACAAAATCATTATATTTTACACCTCGATCATGATTTGCAGTTTTGGGGATTCATTTTGGAATTCCGAAGTCAACGAAAACGTTTTGTCATTGCTTTGGGAACCCATTACTCAGGCAAACTACACAGCACCTACACAATCATTAGCTATCCATTCATTCGCATTGTTTTGATGGATATAGGTAGAGCTATGCACTTTAGATCGATGATTAGATTGCACAGAAATGTCGCTTTTCAAAACATTTTTGGATAACGTTTTCTTTTATGTTGCTACTGAGTGGTAGTTTACATTCAGTTTCAGATTATGTCGTTATTATTTTGGATTATACAAGGATTATAATTATTTCAGTGTTTATTTTTAAAAAAATCATGGATTTGTTTCGACAATTTTAGGTTTCATACTAAGGAAGCTAGGCTAAGGTAGGAAAAATAAAAAAAAACTATTTATTTACTTAATGATTCACATTATAATTATTAAATTGTAATACCTTTAATTTCAGTTGGTAACTAAAACAATTATTATCAAAACTATAACTATTATTTCTTCAAAATTCATTCCATTTTAAAAATATACCTTAACAGTGCCCCTATTTAAAAAAGGATTCACGTCAAATTATGATGTTCTATAATTTGTGAAGTCAAACTATACTTCTATACTTCATTCACTGATATCGAAGTAATAAAAGACGTCGTACGTGCAAGTAAAGCACCGTGATATTGAGGATTATTTTGCATCAAGACGCCATCAATTTTATTGTCGGATCATAAAGCCTTCCCACCTGACGCTTGCGGGAAAATTCGTTTTCACCCGGCCGTTTCATGCATAATATTTTTAGAATTTTTATGACATCATCAACAAAGTTCAAGGTTCGTGGCACTCTTTACTAGATTTAGTAAATGGATTAACTTGAATATTCCTTAATGTGTTTAATAATGGACAGTTGCGATACAACTTGGCAGGAGACCAGACGTTTTGCCTAAGTGAATATAATTACTTAAGTGAAGCAAATTGGACAGAAAATGTGTTGCCTGCTAAGGTAGATTCGTACCCTGACTGTAATTAGATAATTTCCTTAAATCTGAATGCTTTGTCTGTTACTGGTTGTATTAGATAATGGGCACAGCTTTATGTTTTCACAACATAATGGTTTATCAAAGCATTAAACCACATTTAGCTTTGGTATTAACATTTAAGTAAATGCTTTTATTGACCAGGAAATTGAGAATTTTCGTTAATTAGGACATTTTTATCAGAATAATTTGAACACATTTTTTACAAAATCATAATACTAAAATAAGTAAGTTCTATGCAAATCGTGACCTTTAACTAAAACCTAAAAGTTTTGCGCTAGATTAACTATCACAACCGAAACGCTTTCAACAAGTTACTCATTTTTTTGGTAGAAATATACGAAAATGTTAACATTTTCCTTAATGGATGCTATTATCGTGGAAGTAGCAACTAACAAGTGGATTGGTTCAAGCTTCAATTACAATTCCTATTGAGCGTAGGCATATAACTCGAAACGATATAAAAGATAACTAAGGTTATGACTCTTTTATTTTTCAGCAATCATTATGTGCCTTTTTATAAGCTCTCGACCCACGCTTTTGACAGTAAACACGTTTAGTACCGTAACACTGGTTTATTTTCCAAATAATTAGTAGTTACAGAATTAATGTGTTAATAAAATATCCTAATTATTGTTGCATTTATAGACAGAAGAGAAAATTTCGATTGGTTCTATTAATTTGATAACGAAAAAAGATTCTAGATGTCATAATTACTTCCTTTTCTTCAGACACCACAAAAATTTTGAGAATATTGTCAAATTGATTATTCGTTCATTTTCTTTGAAATTAAATTAATTATTTTTCAATATTTCACATTTCAAATCAATCAATATAATTGATTTAGCTTTATTGTAACTTGTGGTGTAAAATAAATAAATAAAAATTGTACTCTGAATTGGGGTTCCCGAGGATCTTCTCTTCAGATCCGTCGAGAGATGTCACCAGCCTAAATAGGCAGGTTCCATATCAAGATAACTGTACGCCACTACGACTATATCTCAAGAAAGAAAGTCATCCCAGTGGTCACCGCAGCGCAGCGCGGTGGCGCGTCGACGGCGGCGCGGCGGCGCCGCGTCGCGTCACGCGGCTCGGCAGCGCCCTATGCAGTACTGGCCACGGGATTGCTTTATTGTTTTTTTAATAAGATGTAAAGTTTTGACGGATTTTGACGGCTGAGTGACGGCTTGTAGTAAAATAGTGTTTTTATATTTTTATTAAGTGTATTTTATAGTTATATTGTGTTAGTTTTAAGATTATTTTTGTATGCCTGGATGCAGCAGCTACGCCGGACAGAGTGCCAGTCAACCTGCCGCACCCCTGGATGGGACTCTGGTAAGATGCCCACATTGCTCTCAAGCACGTTTTTTTAAGGGTGAACGGGGTCTGAGGGTTCATTTGGGCAAGGTACATAAACCCAAAAATGTAGCTCCTTGCCTAGTGTCAGCCTCAGCTCCTTCACCAACCCCTGTCCAGCAACTACAACTTTGGCAAACCTTATCAAAATTTAAAAACACAACTCCAGTTTTAAAGAGAGTTCCTCGAGGTGCAAGAGCATCCGTAGCTTCAAGTTTAGCACGCTGCATTGGTCTTGTGGTTCGAGAGAACTCTCTAAGTGCTTGGGAGCAATTATTAACCTTTCCATTTAGGATTCTACATGTGCAGAAAGATTTGGCCAACAAAAAAACTTTAACAACCCAAATTAAAGATAATTGCTTTTCTCAAACACAAACTTTCGACCCTAAATTATCAGTACACTTTTCTCACAAAGGTTTGTTGCATCATGTAGAGTCCAAAATAGCGGATGGCGATATCCGTGGTGCTGCTAGGGTTCTATTTAGTAGTGATGTGGTTGCTACGTACTCTGCAGAGGTAGTTACAACCCTGCAGAGTAAACATCCTTCCCCGGCAGATGACCTCATCTTTCCTGACCCACCAAACCCTCAACTCCATTCACTTTCTATTACTGCACAACAGGTTCGCGCGGCCGTTGACTCCTTTCGAAATGGTTCAGCTGGCGGCCTCGACGGCTTGACACCACAACATCTGAAAGATCTCGTGTGTTCGAGCGCCGGGGAGGCTGGTGAGTCCCTTTTGAAGGAGTTGACGGCCTTAATCAATCTAATGCTCTCCGGCAATGTGAACGAATCCGTCATCGATGTCTTATACGGGGCTAACTTATGTGCTCTGCGTAAGAAGGATGGCGGTATTCGTCCCATTGCTGTAGGTTGTACATACAGGCGTATCGCAGCCAAAATTTGCTGCGCCTATTACAATGAGTCTTTGGCCAGCAAATTCCAGCCCTCACAACTAGGCTTTGGTTGCAAAGGGGGCTGCGAGGCTGCGGTACATGCCCTATCCACATTTTTAAACAGTAACCAAGGTGAGGTCGTCTTAAAGGTTGACATTAAAAACGCCTTTAACTCCGTAAGCAGGGACGCCTTGTTGACTGAAATTCTAAAAGAAATCCCCAAAATTTACAGTTTTCTTTGGCAATGTTATAGAAACCCTTCAAAATTACTGTATAAGGACAATTTAATAGAATCGGCTGTTGGTTGTCAACAAGGAGACCCCCTTGGGCCTGCCATTTTTAGTTTAGCTATAAATCCTATTATTCGTGAACTAAATTCCAAATTTAATGTATGGTATTTAGACGACGGAACTCTAGGAGGTGACGTTGACATTGTTTTAAAAGATTTGACTATATTAAAAGAAAAACTGAGTTCTATTGGCCTTGACCTAAATTTATCAAAATGTGAACTATACATTCCTGACTCTACAGACAGACTAACGACTCTAGCAAAATTTAATCAAATAGCTCCAAATATCAAAATTATTGATAAGTACTCACTTCACCTCCTAGGTTCACCAATATTCGATGAATGTTTTCCTAAATTCATCGAGGACAAGATACAAAATTTCAATCACATTTCGGATAGATTACACAAAATCAACACACATTCGGCTTTCACCCTAATTCGGTACTGTTGTTTTGGACCAAAATTTACTTATATTCTCCGCGCTTCACATCTATGGAAACATTCACACATTTTAGAAAACGTAGACAAAATTATCAGACACACATTGTCATCCATACTTAATGTGGCTTTGGATGACCGAGCTTGGCAACAAGCTACTCTTCCTATTCGCATGGGAGGGCTCGGCGTCCGCAAAATTTCAAGTATTAGTTTACCAGCTTTTCTGTCTTCGGTCCACAGTACCTCTGAATTGGTCAGGAAAATTCTTTCTTCGTCACTGACCAGTTTTGAGGTGCCGTGTTTGACTGATGCAGTGGAAGCGTGGAAAATGGCTTGCCCACTTACGGATTTACCTGTTCATCCATC